CCCAGTTCCCGTCAGGCGCCAACGGCCCTTATTCTCCGGGCATGCGATCGTTCAATGCTCGGAGGCAAAGCTCGAACGACGGGTTCGAGACCGTGAGCAGTCCCGGCGATATCCAAATGCAAGCCTTTGCCGACGGTGCCCCCCCAGCACCACCTGTCTCTCACTCATGGAGGCGCATCGATCGATGGGCCGAAGAGAACTATGCCGAACTGTTTGACCAGCTTTGCGAGGGTTGCACGAATAACGATTTGACTGAACTCGAGCACCAACTCGATTGTTCGCTTCCCCAGGACCTGAGGGACTCTCTCATGATCCATGACGGGCAGGAGCGCGGCGGCATCCCCACTGGCATCATCTTCTCCTCTATGCTTCTTGACTGTGAAGAAATAGTGCAAGAATGGGATCAATGGCGGCGAGTAAATCAACAGTATTTGGTAGATACGGCCGTAGCGAAGCCTGCGGCTCCCTCCAAAGCATTGGGTGGCAGTAGTGAGGCGTCATCTTCTCGATCGGCACCGGGCTCACCGGGCTCGCAGAAAGGTACCTGGCGACAGAGTCTCCAGGCACGCCAGGACTCTGTCCCTCCTGGCGCTGTTCAGCGAGCGTACGCGCATCCGGCTTGGATCCCACTTGTTCGAGACTGGGGTGGAAATAACCTTGCTGTGGATTTGGCGCCTGGCCCAACTGGCACTTGGGGACAAATCATCTTGTTTGGACGAGACTATGATACCAAGTATGTCATTGCCAGATCGTGGTCTTCTTTCCTGGCCATCGTTGCGGACGATCTGAACAGCGGGAAATGGTTTGTCGACGAGGAGACCAATGACCTTAAACTACGCGAGTTCAAGTCTACCCGGGTCGAGCCCTCCTACTTTGATATCTTGCGCTGGCGAATGGACCAGAAGCATGGTCGTACTGCAAAGGCGGTTGCTAAACGAAGATCCGGCGTGCCGGCAGCTGCCATGTCCCCTGGTGGCTCTCCTTACTCCAGCCCTGTCGACGCCGGTCCGAATAGTGATGTCCGTGGAAGGTCATTGCAACGACTAAGCAACCCCTCACCGCTGGTGAGTCCTGCTCGGCTCGGCCTAACCAAATCTAGCACACTTGGGCGAGTTGCAGAAGAATCAGGACAAGCCGCGTCAAAACCGAATGGCACCCAAGACGAAAACCTTCTCGAGGTCGAAACCCCCAAGATAGCAGAGAATGACACCGACGCCCTTCTCAAGAAAGACACTGCGTCTGAGGCAAAGGCTCAGGAATCATCGCTATTGGAGACGCAGACAGATCTAACGAACGGTGACACAAACGACATGGAGGCGGCGATGAAAACCATAGAGATCTGATGAAGGGCCTACGACAAGCAATGAATGATTGCTTATGCTCCACGACCAATACATTCATCAAAGGGGAGGCGTTTGGGCGTCGATTTGGCAAACTTTCCATGAGCATTATCTTGCGAGCGCCTCTGTCTAGGGTTTTCCCTCGCCTCTTCGGCGATAACAGTACGGGTATCTGGACACGTTCCCTGTGCCTGCATGTTTCGGATCCGTGGGCACATGGAGACTTGGACATCCCCTTTGTTTGCATGAGCCATTCATAAGAGAATATGGATTCGGTTTCAAGATGGCTGAAGAGAGCCCTAACGTGTCTCCATTCCTACTTAATCTTGTACTAAGCCGTGTGTATCAACCATGCTTCGTAAAGCTCAGTCATCGTCTGGCAGAAGATGATTTTTATCATTTTCTTAGCCACCTTGTGACAGCAGCTGAGCGACGACTCGATGGGCCTGTCGGCTTAAGGCTATAACGGTGGACTGTACAAAAGGGAAGGGGGACAGACATTACTTTTTTTTTTCCCGCCGTTTTGCGATCAAGTGGGTTAATAGATCTGACGAGTAGCCCTAGGGCGCCATTGAGACTCACAGTAGGCGTCGGCGGTAGCACCATGTATACATTCTGATTCTTTTCTCCCAGACTCGGCATGGCCACATGCCCATGACTTACTCGGTAGTAAGTAGTATAGGTAGTGATGGGGAGTCATAATGGGAATAGCATTAGTTCATCGAGAAAGATATAATGCAGTAAACACCAAACGCTACTTTGACCACTATACGTGTGAATCCTTGATCTAGTCTAGTGAACTCAGAGATTCCGCGCGGCTCCCGGCAAGTTGCGTCGGGGCGATCTGTTTACCTTGTTATGTAGTCTTCACTTATACCAGGTAGGCAAGTAAAGTAGCTGGCGCTAACAGTTGGGCGTGAACAACATCGGATCTAAAGTTTTCTCGTCAACTTACTTGCGGATTAATTACAGGTTTATGATTCATCTCTCGCTCGTTTTAGTCACGATTGATCAAGAGCATGAATTCAGGACAAGTTGAGTCAACTGAGATTCGTCAAATGTGGAAAAGTTCAATATATCTTCGCGTTACTTACCTATCTAGATCCTTATTATACACACAGGTCCAAGTATCATGTGACGTTCTCATAGAGCCATAGGTGCTCGACGTAAGGAGCCCTGGTAAGGGCATATAATGGAGGACATGGACGGAGTTATAACTTATTGTAGCTACATAATCTTTTAATAAAGCACTATATGCAATTATCCTGAGTACTTTGATCCTGCATATTTCGTTTTAAGTATATCAATGTCGAAGATGATAGCCTAGGTCTGGAGGTAGGTAGGTAACTACCTACAGTGGGTCACAGAAAGTGACGCTCGATTTTTTCAAGCCGAATCTTGGGCTCGAATAAAAGCCACGAATGGAGGCACGTAAAATGTAGGTATGAGTTAGAAAAAAGAATCTATGCAATTGCCGGTCATTGTTTAATGCACACCCAGTTTTCGAGGGTATCATATTGTCATTTGCACGCGCGGTGTTGATTCTGAAAGGTGGTCTTTTTTGCAACAAGTCTGAGCGAGCGTCACTTTCTGTGACCCACTGTACCTAGGTATTAGGTCCACCATTAACTTTACTAGGTATTGCGTAAACAAGCGTCAGCACTCTACCGCCTCGGGGCAGGTCAGGTCAGGCCTGTCATCCATCCATTGACGCACTTGACAACTTTATACACACCAAGTATCGCCTTTCGTCCACTGAATCGGCCGCCAATCCTCCGCATTCGAAATTCCCAAACTCAGGCTTTGGTAGGATATACCGCAAATACCGTGCGTGAGGCATCGCTAAGCTTTTCATCCGTCCAGCTGCCAACCATCATCGAACCCAGCCGCCGCCGCCGCCGCCCCCCCCCCTCATACCAAGTTAACCCGATCCGAGTCGCCGAGAAGAGAGATGGAGGAGGACCGCATATGGAAGTTTAGCAAGCCGGCCTGGCTTAACAGCGCCTGGGCGCGCAATGCTGGTGTCTATTCATCTGGCGCGCTGGTGCGTTTACTGTTCCCTCAGCTGAGTCCACGAGCCCCGTCCATGCAAAGCGTTCAAGAAAGCAAGAGACAGAAAGAGGACGGAAAGAAAGAAAAAGGAATACCCTGGCTAACTCGTAGGCCGCGCGGCGCGCGCACACGTGCCATAGTTCTCGCTCGCCTTTTACGTTCTCATCGACTCGGCCGTGTGGTCGCATTCAGCACTCAACATATCGGACGTACATGTGACGTTTGTGGACTGGCTGCCGTTCATCTTCAGCTCGCTCGGCATGCTCATCATCAACTCGGTCGAAAAGTCGCGGCTGTCGGCCGACTCGTTCAGCTACTCCGGGTCGGGTGTCGCGTGGAAGGCCCGTGTGGTGCTGTTCCTCGGGTTCGCAGCGCTCGCGGGCGGCATGGCGGGCGGCGTCGTCGTCTTCGTGCTCAAGTTCGCTGTCAAGGAGGTCGACTGGCCTATGCTCGGCATGGGCGTCGAGAACATCATTGCCAACGCCCTCGTCGGTCTCTCCACCGCCGTCCTCTGGGTCAGCCAGAACATAGAGGACGAATACAGCTATAACTTGGCTTTGTGAAGGAAGGGTGTGTCCAACTTTTTTCTTTCTTTTCTATTTGGTCACATGGTCGCATTGTCGCATGGTCGCATGGTCGCGATGATGACGCTTTCTTCCCTGCCGGGAGCTTGTGAGCTTTGCTAAGGAGACGATACACATATACAATCAATTCTGTTTTCGGGGCAACATAGAATGCTTGGCCGGACATAATGAAGCCGGTGGTGAGTGGGTTATTGAGTGAAACTGTGAAGGGAATGGCCTGATTCTACGAGTTCAGCATCTTGTGTGATGGTATTCATGTTTTCCTTTTACTTCGGGAGGGCTTTCACATCGTTTCCTTGATGGGCTCTGTATAATGAAATCGACGTTACAAGGTTGTTCAGTGATGCCGGTCCCGTTATCTGACGATGCAATGCCGATCGCCATCGCTCCGAGTCTAGTGCTCTTTTCCGCATGGTAGACTAGGATTGATCCATTGAAGATGATTGATCTTGATCTTCAAAACAGGGCCAAATCCTGAAGCCGGGGAAACGAGTCGTTTTCGGCGAAGCTACATCGATTTATATACCTATGTCAATGGGACCGCCCGGTATAGTTGGATCCTTCTCTCGTTCTGATGATCTACGTAACTCTTACCGCATCCTATATATACAGGGTCTGCCCCTAAAATCGTCAACCGTATGCAACTTACGCTCAGAACACGAGGATTATCAAACTTCTGGGGAAAATGTGTCATGCAAGACTCGTATGCGCCGGGGGGGGTCCTCCTTTGGTGTAAGGGAGGTATTGCTTTAGCCGAGAGTAATGATGAGCTTGAATGAAATGACTTTTTTTTTTTTTCTTTTCTTTTCTTTTCTCGAATTGTCGTTGCTCTGGGACAGGGAGCAACCATCGTCAAAAATGAAGTTATTATTATGTCTAGTCGTGTGAGTGACCATCTCACCTCAAGGCTTGCAAAACAAAAAAAAAAAAAAAAGAAAGAAAGAAAATAAAAAGAAAAAAAGAAAAGAAGAAAAGAAGAAAAGAAGAAAAGAAGAAAAGAAAAGTGCCAAAAAGGAGAATTGACTGCCCAAGGTGAGGATCGAACTCACGACTTTCGCATTTCTACCATACATGCTTCCCTCCCGGAAAGGAGGGAAACGGTATAAGAACGACACGCTAAAAACCACTGCGTCACTCAGGCTGATTTTGCTGTGCTGGGTCATCGGTCTTTTTTCTAACTTGAATGTCTCTCATCATTCTTTCTTCCCTCTTCTTAGGCTTCTCTCAAGGTATATTATCGTCGTTTTTTTTTTTAAATAGAAACCCCATCCCGTCTCATCAGCCCCTCACTCACTGCGTTCGTAAAACCCAAAAAAAAGAAGAAGAAGAAGAAGAAGAAGACAAAGCCGCCAAACCACGAGATCATCCATCGGCGCAAAAAAAGAAGACTCGGTTATCCCGTCTAGAATGACCATCCCAGGGCTCGCTTGATGGCTGGATCTACGGCCTCGGTCATCTCAGCGTCTACTTTTCTCTGGAAGTACGTGAACTTGCCGTGCCTGTCCATGCCGCACGGTCGCGTCGGTCCATGATAGCGAGGCGGCACTTTTCTGTCATCGATAGATCGAATGGTTAGTCAATGCGTTCACCACGGTGAATTGAAGAGGGAGAGAGAGGGAGAGAGAGAAAACATCAACCCCGGCACGGTATCATCGGCGTGTATTGGTCCAACAAGGGGGATAGTCGTGTAATACTCTGTGTGAAAAAGAAAATAGGCAGAATACGCTAGTTTGGCAGAGAAGAAGAGAAGAAGAAGAAAAGAAGAAAAAAGAAAAGTGAAAAGTGAAAAAGAAATCCAATAACGTACTCTTCTTTGGTAGGTATACGATCGTGGCCGACCAAGTCCTCGTGTCCTCCGCAGAACACGTACAGGCTCGGGATCCCTTCCGCTAGGACTATCAAAAAGCCAAATAGTAACGAGTCAGTTAACAATGTCCATTCACATTGTCCAGTCAGTGTGGGATTCAGTGACTAAACTATTTACTTATTTAGTAGCTCGGCCCGTCCGTGCCAAGCGCAACAACGAGAGAGAGAGAGAGAAAAAGTCTCCCCCCGCAAGTTGCGCTCTAGACAAGGGGGTGAAACGACCAAGGGTGGGAGAAAAAAAGAAAAAAAAAGAAATAGGGGGGGGGGGGGGGGTGGAAAGGAAATAGCGGTAAGTAGGTAGGAATTGGTAGTGTAAATAAGTACAATAACAGGGGAAAGGGAAAGGAAAGGAAAGGAAAGAGAATAGGTAGTTAAAAAGTCTGGAGGGGGAGGAAATTCAGAATCACAACTCACTCCCGTCGCTCATAAAGTGCGCGCCACCTTCACACACGTAGCCCGGGAAGCGCGGATCGGGACATCGTTTCCACGGGAAATCGGCCGGGCACGGCGCGAACCAGTCGGCCTTGGTCATCGCCCATTTGTCCTGCTGCACTCGCTCACGCGGCGTGAGCGTGTGGTATACCGACTGCAAAGTCGCGCGCTCGAGGTCCTCGGGAGTCGTATATATAGATCGCAGAGTCGAACTGGCGACCGTGCCAATCGTGCCAACTGTGCCAACCGTGCCTACGGGCTGCTGCTGCTGCTGCTGTTAATGCGCGACTTTGTTTTTGACAGAATTCATCTGTTCCTCATGAGGGCCTTTGGAGACCTTGGTCAGTCACGTTCACTCACCGTGGTTCGGGTGGTCGTGGCTCTCGACGCGGTCCACGGTACCATGGTTCGCGTGGCATTGGAACCGGCGGCGAGAGTGGATTGCCTGCTTCCACCGATCTGTCTGGTGTTGAGTCTGGTATTGACAACGGTCGTTGGCGCTGTTGTAGTCGGAGCCGTAGGCGACTGCATCACCGCTTGACATAACATCCTCGAGCCCAGCGTTGTGGACACACGTGTTCCAAAAGCCGCCGGCAGATTCGAAACCGAGTCTGTTGGTGCAATCGAGGCGGGAGGGCGAGACGGGGTATTGGAGGGCTTGCTGGTCATGATTGCTGCTGTGTTGTGTCGTTTTCGTCTTTGTAGATTGATTGTTTTTTTTTTTTTTTTTTTTTTTTTTTTTTTTTAATTTATAAGTTTTTTAATTTTTTTGTTAAATTGAAAAAATAAATATTTTTTAATTTTTTTTTACTGTGGAGGTTGGAAAGGATATATTATAAGAAGAGAGGGAGCAACTATCTACGGTCAAATAATGGAAGAGATTTATAGCTAACATATCTCCTGAATTCACAAGTCACAAGTCACAAGTCACAACTCTCTTGGAGTGTCATTCTAATTCACTTGCCTTAGTGAAAGATCTATGGACTGATGCCGTAGAATGTGTGATTAAACGTGGGCATCGTCGTGGATCGACCACCAGTGAAATGACAGGGCGCTCTCCTAGAATATCTGTTGTGAATATCGCCAATCAAGGCATACCACCTCGACCATCGATGGCTGTCGAGTCTCGTCACGGGAAACTATGTGTGATTTAGTTAACTGCCTGATCACTTGTCTTAACTCTGAGCTAGAAGTCGACAGAATAGACATGAATAAGTATATACACTTGAATAACTAAATAGCAACGTCCCTGACAAGGTGGGTTTAAAAAGTAACGCTTCATCTTTGATTCTCCCGATTCTCCCGTTTACAAATACAGGGAGAGACGCTACTTACTCCCAGGTATACAAGCAACACAAGACCAAACCTCAAGAACAGTTGAAGAAGAATCCTCATCTCATTGACTGAATGGGCTATTGATAATTCTTATCGGCGAGAGCGTGTTTCTACGGAGTGCTACGACTGCGTCTCCTATACGAGAGTCTCGGAAGACTAGACATGAAGCATTGTTTGTGAGTTTGTAAGGCCCTCCCTGAGGCTTGAGCCGTTCCGTGTGCTCCTCATATCAAGATCAACACAAGTCGAAATCAGAATGGTGGCTTTCGTGTTATATCCATGTCAGCACCGATAGTCGTGACGCTATTCCAGAACGCCAACGACAGCACCGAGCTCCCCAATACACAAACAATCCATCTTAATATCTTATCGACGGTGAATGCTGGGACTTTGAACATGAGCCAAACTCATCTGTCAGACTGTCCTGGTGATGGTGATGGTGATGGTGATGGTGATGGTGATGGTGATGGCGATGTAAGAATACATCTCTACCTCTAATATCTAATAATATCAGTACAGAGTTTCGGAGAAGGCTTTGCTTTACAGATCTGTGCCGGTGCCGCTGGCCCATCGAGGCAGGTAGAATTTCGTGTTCTCGTACACGAGGAAAGTGACCCATGTGGCCGGCATGACCCTGATCATAGAAGGGATAACGCCACGGTAAAAGCCACGCCACCCTTCCTCCCGCCACGTCCTCTTCACGACGCCCCGAATGCCCTTCCCGAACCGTTCCTCGGCATCGTAATTCTGAAGACGGCTGCGGATGACCTGATATGGGTACGTAGTGACGCCAGCCACGAGCTTAGACACGCTTGAGATTACCAGTGTGGCCTCGTTCGTCATCATCGGCTGTGTCCCGCGGTCGTCGCCCGGACTCTCCGTCTTCCCGGTCCCCTTCCGCCGATGTCGCTGCCTTGCGTAGATCTGCTTCAGCGGATCGTAGACCGCGAATTGCACGGCTCCATGAGAGACACCGAACAAGCTGATGCCAAGACCGCGATAAAACCCTCTCCAGCCCTCGGTCCGCAGGAGCTGCGCAGCGCCGGCCCACACGCCCTGGTAAGCGCCGGCCGCGCCGCGGTCAGAGGACAACATGCGTGTCTTCAGAACCCAGACGGGATTCGTGAGGACCTGCGTGAAGACGCCTGCTACGGCCGACGAGACGAAGTAGTCCTGAGGCGTCAACGCGGCCGATCGGCCCTTGACGGCTAGGATGGCATGCTCGGTCCGCGCCTTGAAGAAGAAAAAGGAGGCCCAGCTGGAGGCGTTGCCGAGCAAGTTTGGCGTCAGGCCACGGTAGAGCGCGGCGACAGGATGAGATGTCCTCGTCAGACCACGGAAGACGGAGAAAGTGGTCAGGTTCTGAGATGATGTCGCATTGCTGCGGTGTACTGTTCGGATGTCAGATACATGATCGATCAGTCGACTCATGACTTGGGGGGAGGGAGACATGATTGGGGAGCGAAGTACTTTGCATGCGAGTTTTCACAATGTCGAGGGGGTGGACGACAAGGGTAGCGACGGAGCCGGCGGTTAAGCCGGCAATGGTCTCGATGAGGGCGGGAGAGAGGCCCGCGTCATGGTGTGTCATAGAGACAGGTGGGCGGAACCGGGTTTGTCGTATATACAGATGGAATCTGATTATTTATTACATTATGCGCCCTGAGGATAAGACATGGACAGAGCGGTTCGGTTAACAGGAGCACATTGTCGATGTTGATGTCAAAGTCGAAGTCGAAGTCGAAGTCGAAAGCAATAACAAGCTCAGGTGAATTCGTAATCAATCAATCGCAACTGCCCAGCTAAGTTGAAGCAATTCGATATAAGGATTAGATAACTGGATAATAAAATCTGACTGCCAGATGCATAAGAAGAGCTCGCAAAGATACTATATGTGATAGCTACATGATCTGGATGCCTAAGGTACCTATCGGGTATCTCTAGCGTAGTCATCATCTCAACATCGTCCTTATTCTTGCTCATACAAATCCTCCCCCCCCCCCAAAAACAAAAATTCAAAAGAAAAAAACCTAGTCGCAATTGTTGTTCCCAATTGTACACGACCCAAGAAGAATTGAACAGCTATCTCAAAACTTTGCTCACACTTGGTTCATCTCATATCGGTGGCATTGAGATAGGGAGTTTCTCGGTCTCGAGCCTACGAATAAGAACTGTTGATCAGTCTCCATCTCGAAAATCAAAATAACATGATGGCGGCAACTATGACGACAGATACGGCATCCCGTGCCACGGACAACAATCTCCAAGATGTTAATCGACCTGAGTTGTCAATAGTGGTTGAGTTTACGTATGATCGGTCCCGTTGGCATTTGCCTCCTCATCTCCTCATCTCCCCATCTCCCCATCTCCCCATCCTCCAGACCTTTTCCCTTCAACCCTGTCACTCACTAATCAATCAAAATGCATCTGCATCCAAAAGTGGCGGATTGGAGATGCTATTCTCAGATCAACGCCGGCATATGATATCCATACCGGCCACCGATGCGG